TCGTCATCCTTTAATGGCTCACTAAAAGCCTCCTCGAGACATCTTAGCCTATTCTCACCATGTCATCATGGGATATAACCCCTTTCTGCCTATCGCGGGCGCCAAAGTTAATGTTCTATGCATCCCAGCCGGTCCGATTACACCAGCTCGCTTTCAAAAATTTGTCAAGGCGCTCCAGAATGCTGCCAGCATCGAGCGTAAACTCGTGGATTCAACCCCTTCGTCCGGCTTGATCTTCTACGATGTCTCAGCGAGCCAAGACAAATGGCGGCCGCATCTCTTCCCTTTCGAAACAAACAGCAGGTATCAGGTCGTTCTGGGCCTGGTAGATGGTACGAGGCTTCTTGCTGCTTCTGCCAGCGGCTCGCGGGAGGATGAGATCCCCAAACACGATATACCGGAAACAGTCGAGTCTATCAAAATACGGTTCGAGGAGCAGCAACCCTTTGAGCCTGGACTGGCTGTGCGCCGGCTTATCTATTGTGGCGGGAAGGTCAACGCGCCTCTTGGCCGCGATGTACTTAGTATGCCGGATGTTGACGGCGACGGGGCCGCCCGTCAAGTGATGGTCACCATTTCGCGACTGCTTCTGGAAGGTCTCACTGTCATGGTCAACGACATGAAGGATCAACCGATCAGCATGGTCCCCGGTGTCAATAGCTCACAGGCTCCTCGACGCACCGGCACCACTCCTGTTCCTGCGAGTGGAAGCTCAACACCCGTGTCTACGAAGCCGTCAAGCCCGATGCCAGGCGCGAATGGAGCGGAGCAGCAGGTATGTGTACGTCCGCATAAAATGTCCTAGAAGTAACCTCTATCCTAGAGCGACACCTCCCGAGGACGATTCAACGTCATTCAAGGCATGTTCCGTGTGCAATGCGGATCCTGGATCAACGCAATGGACTCCCTTGCGGAAGGAGCTGCAGTTGCCCAAAGCGGACACGACCATCTATGGCATGCAAAAGCTCTTGAGTACCTTCTGAACGCCATGGTCCTTTTGACTTGGTCCGACATGAGCTTCGTCGTGCCGCAAGTCTGTCGTTCTCTGCCCAACAGAAGCGGAGCATTCGGCGGAGACGTTGTGCCAAAATCAGGGGACTCTTTGAAAATACTGGCGCAATTGCTCCCACCACTGGTGGAGACGATCCTAGAACTCTACGCCAAAGTGGCTAACCTGGACTTGGGTGGTTCTCTCCAGGATGTCCTTAGGGAGTCTCGTGTAAGACTGGTGAACTTGTTGGTTTTCGTGAAGCGAGCAGGAGGACTTCTCTCCAAGCAGGGCCTGAACCAGATCGTCACAGGTTCCGACGATGGTCCCGATATATCGATGCAGGCTAAAGGGGAGCCTGTCGCGGTTTCCAAAGCCGGGCTTGCAAACATTCTGATCGAAACACTGCAAGAAGCTCAATCCAGCAGAAGTCTTTTACATCATACATGCCTTCTGGTAGCAATTGCTACTAGTCTGTCAGTCTTGGGACTCGACCGCAAACACGCCTTCTATATCAAGCAACTGATGCAGCAATTCGTTCCCAGGCTTATAGAAGCGAGAAAGGTTGGTGCTTCCGAAGCCGGTGTTCATCCCGCGGCTGGATTACCACCCGTGAGTGCCGCACTCCAGGGAATCATGCCAGAAATGGTCGCGGGGACGAGGACAATGTTGAACCTTGCCGCTGGTACCTACGGTGTTCCTCTGCCACCTGTTCCCCCAGCACGACAGGGAATACCGGCTGAGTTAACCACGATTCGCGAGAGACTGAGGGCTTGGGCTATTGAACATGACACGGGCGATGCCATGCTGAAAGTGGAAATGCTCCGGGCATGTGTGAGCGTCTGCGAGGCATTGCCCGATGTTCCAGCTGGGCTCCACTTCTCGTCAAACATCCTTCGTGCGGCGCGGAGAGTTGCCACCATGCCGAAGTACTCGGTTAACGAGGTGCCTTTGATCTCAGCTGAAGAGCAAGCACGCCTCCTGGATAGCATGAGACGTGCGGTTTCGGCGGCCTCTCGCCTGGGTTCAGATGGCTGCCGTGCTGAGTACTGGGACGACTTTCTGGTCCGAGATATCCAGGTTTTCGAGAGAGACGGTTTCTCGAAGCTCACAGCGCACAAGCCTAGCGATCTCGCTATACGAGGGAGTGCACTCGTTGACACCGTGCGAGATCCGTTCATATACAACCCGTTCTCGAAGGACAAATCCGTTGTTGCTGCTCCCGTGTTGGTGGCAGGGGAACTCTCCACCTTTGGCGTCCTCCTGCAGAATCCTCTCGAGGTCGAGATTGAGATTGAAGAGATTCGTCTCTTGAGCGAGGGATGCGCTTTTTCCCCTTCGGCTCATAGCGTCGTGTTGGGGCCAATGTCGAGCCAGCTGTTCACCCTGAGTGGCACACCAACCGGGAGTGGCGACCTTGAAATCATCGGCTGCAGAGCAACGATACGCAATTGCTACGAGCAAGACTTCTTGACCTTTCGTGAAGATTGGAAACCCCCAGTGAGTCCGAAGCAGAGAGTGAACAGCAGAGCCAGATCCCGAAGAGGCCAAATCACTTGGGCAAACGCTGAAGAATCAGCACAGCTCGACTCCCTATCAAACCCGCCTGTGCTGACACCCCTCAAGCTCAAGGTCATCAGCGCCCAGCCTCGAATTGACATCAAGTCGAGCAGCCTGAGAAATCCTGCCATGATGCTTCTTGAAGGCGAGAGCCGCGTTTTCGATGTGACATTGATCAATGAGAGCAAGACCGTGCCGGCAGACCTTGTTTTAATCACCGCCGAGGATTCGGTAAGTGAGCGGCTGAAAGAAGCTCTTACGACCCAGGAACTCAACCCGGCGGAAAAGTACGAGTTGCAGAATCAGCTGGCAATCCACCCAGCGATCGAGATCAAGGACAAGCAACACCATGACTCTAAACAGATCCTAGAGCCCGGCACGAGCATTGACTATAGGGTGGCAGTCTTCGGTCGACCAGGGCTTGTCAGTGCCACCGTACAGGCAGACTTTGCCTTTCTGGGAACACCATCTGCTGAGGTCCGAGGGACATTTTATACAAGACAGGTTCGATTTCCTGTGTCCGTCACCGTCAACGGTAGTGTCGAAATACCTAGGTGCAATATCTTGCCTATCCACAGCGACTTCAGCTGGGGCTCGGGACAGTCCTCGGGCGAAGAACCGGCGCAAGACCTTTCGAGCGTGGCAGCGAATTTACGCAAGCTTTCCCGATGGCTCAAGACCAGTTCTGATGCAGGTCAGTACTGCATGTTGTCGCTCGACCTCCGCAATGTGTGGCCTCAGCCGCTCAGCATCAAACTCCAAGCACGCAAACCTGGTGCTGAGCCTACAGATGGCCAGCCTTGGGATGACGCTTACTCAGTCATCGAAACATTGCAACCAGGACATGTTGACCGCGTGATCCTCCTTGTCCCTCGGATCTTCATTGCGGATCCTCACACCCCTATACCGAATCTGGAGACGCAAAAACAGTTCGTGGTGACCGCGTCCAAGTTGAGCGCCGAAGCGGAAGCAGCAAGCCGAGAGTCGTTTTGGTATCGCGAGGAGCTGCTCAAGTGCCTCCGCGGTGTTTGGCGAGAAGAGGCCTCTGGGAGACACGGAGAGATCGATCTGAGAAAGGGCATAAGATTGAGTCCACGTATGGTGGATGCGCTAAAGGTCGATCATGTCGAGATCGAGTACACCGTGAAAGCGCACGAACAGGTTCCGGAAGCTGGGAAAACTGACGGCGTCGCAACTGTCAAGCAAGTCGGACGGACTCATTTCTTGGTCAAAACCGAGTCATTCGCCACCTTGTCCGTCACCATCCACAACCACAGCCAGGAGACACTCCGCCTCATTCTCAGACTGCAGCCTGCTCTACGACACCAGCCTCAGAATATTGCGCTGGATCTGTCGAAGCGGTTCGCTTGGACGGGCGTGCTTCAGCGCTCGGTCCATCCTGCGATCGAGCCCGGTGGTGTTTTTGTGGCCCACTTAGGTATCATTGCCCTTGTCGATGGAGAATACGTGGTCAACGCATCGGTGGAGGAGGTGGCTGGTCGTCGCACGAATAGCAGCACGAAGGCTACAGACGCAGCGAATGCAGGTACGGACAGGCGGATCTGGCACGCGCGGTCGCCCTGCTTGATCGACGCCACCAGCTAAGTGGGTACACACGAGTAATCACCTCCGTGTAGGGACCTCACAGTACAGATAGAACAAGGTCGATAATCTGCAGAAAGACCTCCCTGTCCAGCTCGACCTTGGCAAGACCCAATCCCAGCATGAGCGCACGGTTTTCCTCAGGCGACTTGGTGACAATGGCGTGGGCGATCTGAGAGGCATAAAGTTGGCCCATAGCTTCCCGATCAGTGCCTCCAGCACCAAGCAGTGTCCGTGGGGAGAAACGTGATGAAGGAAGCAACCCGTCGTCTCCATATCGATTTGTTTGGAAGTACGGATCTGACTGAGTTGGATTATCGCTGAAGAGCGGCACCGTAACCTTGAACACTGTGTCAGCGTCGACAGGGATAACCAGAATGACTGCAGACCCTACCCATTGCCCTAGCCTCCCATTCTGGGTGACTGTGATCATGATTTTGTCCGCGAATGACATGTACATCACGTCTGTCTTGACGCCATTGATCTCTCCGGCGACCTGCTTCGTGGGCGCAGGGAAGGGAATAGTCACTTTCGTATCGTCCATGTCTACCCCGTAGTCTTGCAGTATGCCCATATTCTCACCCGCCAAAAGACCAAGAAGGACGAAGACTGACGCTTATAAGAGCCGATTCGCAACGCCGATCGACACCCATTCTAAGTCAGTCACGTGGCTCGGTGAGCGCCGCCCGCGCCCCACTCATTTTCTGCCGGCCGAATCTCAAGAATTTCCTACGATGCTGCGGCTCGCGACAGTTACAGTTGCAAATGTGCAACCCTCGGTCATATTCCGTGTGGTGCTTGTCGCGGCGGTCTTCTTTCTTGCCATCGCTACTCTCTAGCAGCCGTCGCAATGCCTCGCTTCGTCCCCCGCCAACGGAAGCATAAGGTCCTCGCCCGCCAGAATGCCGCCGCCAACACTTCATTGTCAACGACGGGCACACCAGCGTCAAGTAACGCAGAAGTCATATTACCGCAGTCCAAGGCTGAAAGGGAGGAAAAGAGGCGCCAGTTGAAGGAAGAGCTGCTTGCCAAGCAGTCCAAAATTTCGAACAAGAAGCAGAAGAGACTAGACAAATATATTGAGAATAAACTGCGGAAGGACGAAACACTGGATCTGTTGAAGAAACTCGAGAATGAAAAGGCCAAATATGAGGCCTCTGTTGCCGCCAATGGCGGTGTTCTTGGCAAGCGTACCTTTGAGGAGTTCGTCAATTTAGGTCGACCGGAGAAGAAGCCACGGGAAGTGAGAGTTGAGAAGCTGGAAGACGAGACTGACGATAGCGAGGATGAATGGGAAGTTGAGAACCGTCAAGCCTTTGGTGATAGCGAGGCGGCGGAGCAGCTGGTGGAGAATACCCTTGCGCCTGTCGCAACGGGGAGTGGTCTTGCACAACCACTTGCACTGGACGAGACGGGCCGGCCTATCATACAATCGCGGAAGAGCAAGAAGCGGAAAAAGCTACAGGACGATGGCGTGGAAGAGTTGCCCTGGGAGGGGTTTGATACGGAGCCCAGCGAAATCGAGTATGGTTCTGAGGACGAGGAGGCTTCAGAATCTGACGACGACGAATCAGTCGAGACGGCCAGCACTGATGGGACTAGGTCGTCCGTTGAAGAGGGCGAGAGCTCCGATGAAGATGACGATACGGGGAGCGATACATCAGAGACTTCGGGCGATGGCAGCAACGAAAAGATCAAGCCCAGGAATTCTGTTTTCAAGCTCTGGGCAACGCAGCAGTTGAACCAGTCCATGGGCCATACGCCGTCCTACACTCCCGGAGAAGGCCAACTACTTCCAGCACCTAAACCAGCCCCGAAATCGGACAGTGAAACTCCAAAACCCAGTATTTCCGCCGAGTTGCCTGAAGATAAGCCCAATCGAAAGGCCTACGCTGTTCATGTTGAGCGATCCGAAAAGATCCAGCAATCTCGCACTCAATTGCCCATCCTCCAATGTGAACAGGAAATCATGGAAGCCATCCACAACAACCCCGTCGTGATGGTCAAAGGCGACACCGGAAGCGGCAAGACGACGCAAATACCTCAGTTCCTCTTTGAAGCAGGCTATGGATCGCCAGAAGGACCTTCACCCGGCATGATTGGTATCACTCAGCCTCGACGAGTTGCCGCCGTCAGCATGGCAAAACGCGTGAGCACCGAGCTGGGTCAACATGGGAAAAAGGTGTCATATCAGATCAGGTTCGACAGCACTGCATCTGCTGACACGGCTCTCAAATTCATGACGGATGGCATTTTATTACGAGAACTATCCCAAGACCTGCTCTTAAGGAAGTATTCCGTCATCGTGATCGACGAGGCCCACGAAAGAAGCGTCAATACAGACATATTGATCGGCATGCTCAGCAAGATTGTCCCCGCACGGATGCAGAAGAGCAAGTTCAATCCTGATCCCAAGCCCCTGAAATTGGTGATCATGTCCGCGACGCTCAACATCGGTGATTTCTTGCACGAGAAGCTGTTCCCGGCTGATGTGCGACCACCTATCGTGGAAGCCGAGGGACGGCAACACCGCGTCACCACACACTTTGCACTGAGATCACGAGCAGACTACGTCGACGAGGTGATTGAGAAGGTCCAACGAGCGCATCGAAAGCTGCCTAGAGGTGGCATTCTTGTGTTTCTGACGGGGCAGAACGAAATCCGACAGGTCGCTAAACAGCTGAGGGTTCTCCTGTCGCCACGAAACGGCAGCGAGAGACAGGCAAACGTGAATGTCCCTCGAGTCGAAGTGGCGGCAAGCGAGGCACCTCTTGAGACTGAGGATATGGAGCTAGGCTCATCAAAGATCGACGAAGGGCAGGACGATTTCGACATGGAGATCCTCACGCCCTCGGACGAGGAAGCCGAGGACAAAGAATTTGAAATCTCCGACGACGAGGAGGACGACGAAGAAGACGTTCAGCAAGCTACCATCCGACCTGCAAGGCTTTTGAAATCCAAGGATCCGTACACCTCGGTCCATATACTGCCGCTATACTCGCAACTGCCCACAAGCGAACAACTCAAAGTCTTCGACCCACCACCCACCGGCGCCAGATTGATCGTGCTCGCTACAAACGTTGCAGAAACATCCCTCACGATCCCTGGAATCCGGTACGTCTTCGATACAGGCCGGTCCAAGGAACGCAAATATAACCTTGATACCGGCGTCCAGAGCTTCGAAATAGACTACATCAGCAAAGCCAGCGCTGCGCAACGGGCCGGCCGAGCTGGAAGGACGGGCCCCGGCCATTGTTGGCGACTGTACACGAGTGCGGTGTATGAGGCGTTCTTCCCGGATCACGCGGAGCCAGAGATCCTACGTGCCCCAGCGGAGAGCGTAGTCCTGCAACTGAAGGGGTTTGCGTACCCCAGACCGATAGCTGAGTTCCCATTCCCAACACCGCCGGCACCACAGACCCTGAACAAGGCAGAGCTGTTGTTGAAGAACCTGGGTGCCTTGACACCCACGGGCAGCATCACAGATCTAGGCAGGCAATTGTCTATCTACCCGCTCTCACCTCGCTTGGGCAAGATTCTGGCCCTGGGCCTCGACGCGTCGAACCTGCACCTGATTTGGCACGTGCTGACCCTGGTCTCCACCCTGGCCGTCCCGGAGATCTTCGTCACAGAAGCACAGCTCGACTCACACGATGGAAGGGACAAAGACACCGACGCCGACGCCGACGCCGGCGCCGCCCTCGACGATCTCCGTCAGGAGTACGGCCGCGCCCGCGCAACCCTCACCCGGAACGACAAGACCTCCGACGCCATGAAGCTCCTCACCGCGGCGAGCATGTATCTCGACACAGGCCACGTCTCTGCATCGACATCGCAGTCCTCGCTGTGTCGATCGCTCTTCCTGCGCGAAAAAGCCATGGCCGAGGTCGCCCAACTGCGCTCCCAACTCGACCATCTCGTGCGCGTGAACAACCGCACCACCATCACGTACGACCACCTCGAGCACTCCCGCGCCCACACCAAATTGTCGTCCCATAAGGTGACCTCGCGGCTCAACAGCCTAGTCGCAAGCGGATACATAGACCACCTCGCGATCCGATATGACTTGGCGCCCAACTCCGCGGCGCCGACGCCGACGCCGACGGACGGTCTCGCCAAACCCCGCCGTGCGATCGACGTGCCGTACCTGCCTCTCTTCCCCGTGCACGACGCCGCCCAAGCCAGTCTTCTCGAGAGGGCCGTCTTCGTCCACCCGTCGTCCGTGCTCGCCCGGGCGAATGTCAAGGACCTGCCGCCCTATATCTGCTATAGCCATCTTCAACGCTCGCAGGTCCGCGCTGTCACGGTTGCGGGGCAGAACGCCCCCAAGACGAGGATGTTCCCTCTCTGTGCACTCACTGGAGGGGAGATTTGTCGGTTGGCCAGAGATACCGCGCTGATAAGCTATGGGAAACCGCTTCCCAAGTCTAAGATCGAGGACATGGCGGGCCGGCCGAAGCGGAGGGTGTGCTGGGTGAATTGTGAGTTGAGGGGCGCGGGTGGTGATGGTGGAGGAGGTGTATTGGGATGGGGCTTGCCGCCTGTCAAAGTGAGGCAGGTTTTGGATATGAAGTCGAGGGAAGGATGGACAGTTGAAGAGGTGCTAAGTTAACTTGGCGTTGAAGATGCTTAGGCAGCAAAGAGTGCATCTCATTGTCGGCTGCCTTATGAGCTACACTGTGTATGAGAACCAAGGCCAGCTCGGCTCACTCCTTCTGCCTAGGCATGTGTTGCCTCCGTCTTTGTGTTCCCCATGAGCCAAACCGAGCATACCAGTGTCGACTACTTTCAGTAGCACAGTCTAGGTACATGACCTCTCTCGAAATTTATGTGTATGCCTGAAGTCCCAATATTGCGATAATGGACGACATTGCTGTACATGCCCGGTCAAGAGTCTCCACGATGCAAAACCCTTTGTCTAGTCACTGACTAGACCTCTGTACATCATTTCTGGATGGTAAGCATCTGTTTACCACAGACTGATATTCCACATGCAACCACTCCTTTCCACCCGCGTCCACTCCGAAATCTCTCTCGTGACTAAACGGCGTAAACAAGTCAGTTCTTTGGTGTCGGTTTTGAGGCGTTGCTGCTGGTTCTGCTCCGCCGTCGGTCTCCTTTATCTGGAGTCTCTGGAATGGTCGACTCCAACCACGCAATCGCTCTCTCCACCCGGCCCTTTGCCGCCACCAGTTCCGCTTGCAATTGCTCTGGGCTAAATCCTTTCTCTTCTTTGATCCACCAGGGTGCCGCGTTGATACACATGCGAAGAAGGATTGTCGCCTGGTGAAACTCAGAGGTGCCAAACTCAAGAGCCATGTCGGGTGCATTTCCCAGCGCGGATGGTGCTGGAATCTTGGCAGACAGCGCTTCTGGTAGGGCTTCGCGGTCCTTCAGCTCATCCAAGAAGCTGGCGTATTTCCTCAACGGCCATTCGAGATTGTCGTTCTGCAGACAGTTGGCGAACTCTTCGTCCTTTGGAAAGAAACCGGCAAACTCAAAGTCGATAATCGCCGATACTTTCGCCCCTCCATTTCCATGAGGTACTGCGAGCACGTTGCGAGTAGATAGATCGTCGTGAGTGAAGACCATGGGTTCGAAACCATAGCGGAACATGGGCAGTTTTGGGAGAGACACATCCAGGAAGCGCTTCACCTTGTCATACACTTCGTCCGAGGTATGCCCGTAGAGTTTGCCTTCTTTGAGTTTCTTGAGAGAGCTCTTCAGTGAGAATGCGGCGTACTTTTCTGCAGTACCCAGTGGAAATTGTGGTGATGAATTGGTGATCAGACCGTCAATGTGGACATCATAGCCTGGGAGAATGACCTTGTCGTATAAAACAGCAGCGGGTCCTGGCTGAGAGCCGCTTCCGACGATTCGTAGATTGCCCACAGCTTTTGCAGCTGGCATGTCCTTCCGCCAGGTAGCCACGTGAGTAGCAATCTGGCGCATCAGTTCGTCTCCGGCTTTGCCAGACAAGTCTTCTGGGCTGATAGGCTTACCAGGCTCGCGAGTGAGCAGCATCCAGCCTTGTCCCTCGGTATCCTTCCGAACATTCTCAATTGGGACACCATCTTCTGCTTGGATGGCCAAGACCGGAATATTCTTCACCTCATTGTCTCTGAAGCCGCGGGGAAACTCAGGTGTGCGGACCTTCTTGCCGTCGTCCGACCAGGCGATCAATTTTGGGCACGGGATGGATGGGCAATACTTCTCAAGCAGAAGCAGGCAAGCGACTTCGTTCTGGACCTTGTTACGTCCGAATGGATGACCTGCTATCTTGAGGACGAGGAATGATGACTGGATCTGAGTGTTGGATTTGGCAACCTCGACTTCCTTGTCCTCCAGTTTCCACTCCGGTCGGGTGTTGAGCACAGGCTCGTTGAGGTTGATAAAGTAGATGCGATTGTTGAACGACTTCCCAGATGGCAAGTGCTCGATGTTCATTTGTTCCTTCTTGACATTTGGGAGGCATCTTTCAACCACAGATTTGATCTTCTCGTCGGAAAAGTAAATGTCATAGTTGGGATTTGCGCGAGGAGTAAGTCTTTCCGCCGTCCGAAATGGGAGAGGCGAGTGAGGAGAGAGGTGATCCATCTTCCGCGACGTGGCTGAAGATGCCGTTGACGCGACCGACCGCGGACTGACGTATGGTGGGAGGAGAGTCTGTAAGAATGATGAATTGGGACCGAGACAGAGAAGCCAGATGCGGGTCTTTATACCCAGATGAAACTAGACAGTCTTGATTGCAGGCGTTGATGACATTGACAGTGAGGAATCAACTGGAATTGTGAGTGACTGGTAGTTGAATATCTTTCTGTCAACTCAGCTGTCTGTCAAACCCGGGGGCGAACAAGGGAATGTGCTAGCAGCGCAGTCAACAAGACGAAGAAAAACCGGAAGACGACAAGTGAAGTGAAAGTCATCTCAGGACTCTCAGATTGCGGATTGCAGGAGGGAACAGGAAGTGCAACAAGTGATAATGAAGGGGAAGGTGCGTTACTTGATGGCAACTCGACATCAACTTCGACAAGTGTCTCTCCTCCTAGACAATGAAATCGTCTCACGACTTTCTCAATCTCGTTCCCTTCCTCGCTCCCAACTTTTTCTACCAACACCCATTGTTGCTCCGCTGGCTGTCTTTCCATTCCCGCGGCTGCGTTCGCGAAACCATTCCCGCAGTACGACATTCATGACGGAACCACAGTCCAAGTGAAGTGAGATTGAGCTTACAGCAAGTGTCAGTTGGCCCCTCCTCCTACACAAACGATAGGGAACAGCTCAAACCCACAAATTACAGCCTTCGTACCTGAATGCTATGTCCAGGTAGTGTTGAAGAGGTGGCACACTGTCGACGACATCCCTAGCCGACGCCTCGGGGTACGCCGGTGCTGAAGGTGATCGATGAAAAACGCCATGACAAAAACATCGTCAGAGAAGCGTGCGCTGCGTCACGCCGATCAATATGTTTGGTGACAAGCTTCGATCATTGCTGAAGGTTCCACGCGTGCGCAGCAAAGACCTCAAACGACCGCAAAACCCAGAAGAGAAGCCAGAGCCCGCAGACGCCTAAGATCCCGTCCTAGCCTAACCGCAAGACTGTCGAATGCCATGCTACAGAGTGCAAGATCGTCATCGGAGAGAAAGGCGTTTCTCAGACAAGACATGTCCAGTAGAGGCAGGCATCGATGGCACCACCGCAGAAGCCATCCCAGAGAACGTGGTGGTGATGATGAGGACTGAAGGATTCCGAAAGAGGCCAGAAACAAGGCCTTACTACTTCATTCAAAGACAACGCAGCCCACGCGAAGAGAGGCTCGAGAGGATGTGGTGCGGAGTATGTACTCCGTACTGCCATCCGGAGGAACCCGATGACCCTCTCCCTGTCTCCGGGCCACACCCAACAACAATTGCGCCTGGCCTTCTCGCCTTTCTCCCTCATCCTGCCAGACATGATCCTGTTTACTGTACTCCGTACTCCGTACGGAGTACGCCGTATCTGGGTGCTGATTCAGAGGGTCCCGTCACAGCTCACCTAACGGCGTGGCTTTGTTTCATCGGAATTGTGTTCCTGCATGCCATGGCACTATCTGGTGCTATCGCTCTGTGGCTGCGTTGTGCCCCTTTATTTCGGTCTCACAGCGCAACCATCCGAGATTAGGATTTTCAAATGTCAACAGGCGAGCCAATACGAGAAGCGTCTTTTGGAGCCGCTCACCATGATTCGTCGTTCAAATGACAGCTGTCGTCTGGTTTCGAGCCATCTTCTCGACATCATGCTTGATCTGGCAGCAAAACGTCGTTCAGCACCACGCCATCCGCGCTGTACCTCAACACCATGCCGACTGCGGACCTGCTGGATCTCCGTCTCGATCGTTCATTCGACAGATCTCCACCTGTGGTATTCAAGCTTTCAGCCAGATGGTACTGGGTATATTCCAAGGAGTCCGGCCCTGATAGTGTGGAGATGATCAGTCAACAACATGGCTCGGAACAACTCCCACGAGCACGTCACTTTGTGGTTCCCTGACCATATCCATGCTCCGACGACTATGGCTTTCTACCTGGCCGTGTGGCTGTGATGATGCTGAAATCTCGAGGAAAGGGCAGTCGAATGGAGACACGTTACAGGTAGGAACTCGAATGTGTGTGTAATTTGGGACACTGCTGTCTCTTTTGTTCGCCTCAACCACGTGTATCCAACTGACCTCAACCTCGGAACGAGTCGCTGGACTACCCCTGCTGCATGCCAAGGGTAGCCGCTCGCATAAGGCGAGCGAAGTAATTTCAAGAGTCGTGGGCTTGATTCGGTGATCATCTGCCTCTTGCCTTCTGCTCTCCTCGCCTTTCCATCTCTTCGAAACCTCAGGGCTGTGAGTTCGCCACTTCGTGGTCTGCGGCTTCGACTCGTCGACGGCCTTCATTCTTTTAGGTCTCTCTCTCAGCACAGATCAGCGACTGTTCTGGTTGTCCAACTCAGCCAGCCATCCAAATGTCGCTCTGTCCAAATGGGGCTCCGCCCATGTTGTAAGTTCTTCACCGCGAATGGCAGCGCGCGCGACGGAGTGGCTGCAATAATCGATATCGGGTTTGACTAATAATCTTTGACAGCTTGCCATGGACAAACGTCACAGTCACGACCAACCAGAAGGCCGTAACTAGGGGAATACAGGTGTCAATGGGAAGTCCGCCACAGATAGTGTCGCTTAGGCCGAGTACGTCCGACGATGTTCTGTATGTGGTGAACCGAGAGCAATGCTCTCCTCAGTACAACGACTCTTGTATCGGACTGTACGGTGGTGTCTTCGACTACTCCAAGTCGAAGACGTTTCTGCAGGTCGCAGAAGGCCAATGGAACGGTACACTCGAGTCGAACCCAAATCAATTATCCTTCGTCCACTTCAACGATCTTCTGACCTTTGGGAATGCTTCCATATACGGGTATCCTGCGGTATATGACGAACCCGGCTATGGTGGACAAGGCGTTATCCCCCTCGGATCTGGTTCAGACTTTCTCCGAATCGGCGTCGAAACCAATTCCACGCCATCCACCGTTTACGGAATTTGGCCTGGCTCTCGGTCCATCGACCACCCGGTTGACGGGTCGCTGGTTATCGGCGGCTATGACACGACCAGAATCAATGGCACCCTGACCACCTTCGACTCTCAGGAACAGTGTGAAATGTGCGTCGTAATTACTGCCCTCTCTTACTCCGACGAAAACGGCACTACGAACCTCTTTTCCAACTCATCCGAATCGCTTCCAGTCAACTTGAATCCGTCACAAAGGGTGCTCTACGTCCCGCAAGGCGTTTGGGAAAACTTCAAGACCGCTACTGGTGGCTATTATAATGCTTCGTATCTGTCTTATGCATCCACCGCCGTACCAACTGGTCATGTCACCGTAACGCTGCAGAACGGATACAGGACTGTCATCCCCGCCGAGGAACTGTTCTACTACCCACGTGGCTACAACGACGATGGGGAATACGATGTTATCGACAACACTTACCAGATCAGCACGATCGTAAATACGACTAGCGATGGATATGTGCTGGACTGGGGTATCCCCTATATGACAATGAACTATATTATCGCAGACTATAAACGCTCGCAGTTCCAGATGGCACCCGCAATCCGCACAAATTTCGACAACATAGGCGGTGGCTATGCACTCAAGGCATCCTGTGATCCGACGACGGAAGCAACTCCTGCGCCGACGGTCAGCGCGACAGCCGGTCCTGCTTCGACCACAGCAGCTGTGCCATCCCATCATAGCAGCAGCAACGTGGGCCCTATCGTTGGCGGAGTGGTCGGTGGCGTGCTCGGTCTCATCCTTATCGTTGGTGGTCTTGCGTTGCTGTTCTACCGCAGCCGACGGCGCAAGAATTCTGCGGCTGGCGGCGAACACGGACAGCCAATGATGACACAACCCATGGCTAATAGTGGCATGCCACACAACGGTGGATCGCAAGCGGACAGGTATTCCCACTGGACAGCGATGTCACCCACAGAGGCACCCACCGAGCTGGGAGGAGGCGAGAAGATGAACGGGGCACATGCGAGCGTGAATCAATGGCTGTCAAGTCAGGCTAGCGATGTGAGTCTTTCGCCTACACACCTCTCCGTGTGAATGGGGTGCACTTACTAACATTACTTCCTAAAAGACGCAGACGGTCGTGAGCTCCACGTCGCCGAATCCCAATGTCGGCGCAACACTAGGCTATAACATGGGCTCACCCCAGACCACTCATCAGCAGCAAATGGGGTCGATGGACAGACCATTCGAGATGCCCGCCCAGCCATATGATACTCGGTAGACAACGACCAGTAGCCGCTCCTTCTAGCATACGAGTGACTTTGAACAATTGCTAAAGTGGGACCGTTGCCGTATGCGCCGTCGCAATGTGCGGGCTCCGATGGCCAAGCTCTCGATCATGCAGTTTGTGCTCATGGCGACTGGGGGTCTCAATATTGTGTATGCAGGATATATGCGCCTTCCGAGCTGGGTGCCACGCTCGAATCTGATAGACACTGGCGCCGATTATCATATCACTCATCTCAGAACCACCGCTTCTGGCCTGCTGCCAAATCGAAAGTTCCTTACGAGTCCACGAAATCAGCATTCATTTCCATCGTCCAATGCTTTCTCTTTTGATTGAATCCTGCTGCCTCGCGAAGTTGTCAGGAAGAGTCGGAAGCTAGCAGTCCGAACATCATATTTTTTGGTTGCCTATGGGCGTGTGTGAAACTCCAGTTCCCAGTCGTAGCGGCGATTTCACTGTGCCATCACGATCGCAATCTGTTCTTTAGATGTCGGGTGCTTTCCCACTAGCTCCAAGACTGGCATGTATATCCATTCTGCGCGTTTGCTGAGATCTTTGACCTTTGATGATAGTACATGGTGAAACCCGGCAGGCACCTGGGAAAGACTGTCCGTACTACCTCCTCGTGCGGCCTCTACCGAGAGCCTTGACAACGAGTTATGCAAACACTCGACTATGAGTGCTCGCCTGCCTCACTGGCCTTTTCTTTCTTCAATCTTTCTCTCTCTCGCTTCTTGTCCAACAGCCGATTCAACTTCTTCGCCACGTTGAACACACCCCCCGTGCCGGCCCCGCACGCCGCACATGAAGGATCCTTCCGATACCGCTTCAATGCGCACGCCTCACAGAAGTAATGTCCACATTTCGTGACGATAGGGTTCTTGTAAGAATCCTTGCAAATGATGCACGCAAACGGTATTCTTTCAAGCAGTTTTTCGTCCTCGTCGTCCTCCGCCACAGCCGCCGCTGGGCCGTTGCGATTGGCAGATGCGACCGTCTTCGCACCAGGGGTCTTTCCCTTGGTGTTGATCTCCCAGTCCCGATCGAGCTGCCAGCCTTGCTTGTAATCTTCCCGCGCGTGCAGGTACTTGCAATTATCGCCGAAGCCGCAGAACCCGGTCTGCTTGTAATCCTTGCACACATCGGGCGCGAAGTCGGTCACGGTGATGGTGCGCACGTTCGTCGACGACTTGACCGGCCCGACCTGTTTGGATGCGGGTGCGGGTGCGCGGTCGGAACTTTTCTGGATGAACGATTGGTAGTTCGCCACGCCTTTGTACGTTCCATCCGTTGTGCTTGCGGCATTGGCCTTTTCTGACGCTTTGGTCTCCGTCATCCCCTGATCCTCCTCGTCGTACCAGTTCGATGTCTTTGTTGCGTCGTCTTTATTGGTGCGCGCCACTACCGCTGCCGAGGCGGCTGGAGCTGGCTCGGCCGTTGATGGGTGACGGGGTTTGACATTTTCAGCCGACGATGCGGCGACAGTACCTGCGTTCTTGCGCCGTCGCTTTACTTGTCTCTGGCCATCTGAGTCTTCAAAGGATGAAAAGCCCGAGTCCGAGTCGGAGTCCACATGGGAGGAGGCATCTGGGGGTGGTGTGGCTGGTCGTTTGCGGATCGTCGATTTGGACTTTGGGTTGCGCTTTTTGAACGAGAATGCTGGCGCGGAGGCCGCTTGCGGATCTTCCATGATGCGTCTATGTATGTGCCGAAGGGTACACAGCAGAGAGACGTTCGCGGAGAGGGCATAAGTTGGCTGAGAAAGTTATTGAATCAAAGACTCACAGAATGCGGAGTAGACAGTACGTGCCAGAAGATTGCTAAGCGCGGTTGCTCCACTAATCAGTCAGCCGCCCTGCGGGAGCTAAACTAGCCTCGGTACACCTTCCTCCTTCACGCTTTCTTCTCTTTCTGGCTTCGCGGCGCCTCTCGAGTTCGCGGTCTAACAGAAACTCCTCCTGATGTAGCAGTGTGTGCGCGACCCTCGGCCCTGTACATTTGTACCATGTTATCATAATGTCTTTTCTTCCCAGCGAGTCTTGAGCTTTCTCGTTGTCTTATCTACATTCCGGGTTGGCCCGACCCACCTGGGAGGCCATGGTTGAGCATGCTGCTCAGGGTCAGCACATTGGTGACCTGCCGGACACGCCTCCCAAGCTCAGTCCTGCGGCAGAGGAGCGCAACCGACAGAGGATACTCTCCTTCAAGGTCACCCATGTCCTTCTCACGCTCATTATCTTATGGTTAACGTGGGTGGCTTGCTGAGATGCCGTGCGCTATGCCCAAATATCATATTGACCAGCTTTTAGAGTCGTGCATATTATCGGCATTCTCTTCTTCGCCAAAGGCTTTCTTCTCGCTAGACTGGTGTTGGACAACAGGTCCCAATGTGATATCGATCCATACGATCAGCCTTCCCCTGAGGTCGACGGGTGCTGGCACCCCAAGACGTTCGATCGAGCAGTTATCATAATAATCGATGCTCTACGATACGATTTCACCATCCCTTCCCATCGTTTCTTTACCGAGCCCGAGCGAAAATTCTACCTGGATAATCTCCCAATCTTCCACGAGATCGCTGCTTCGAGTCCCTCTAATGCGTTTCTCCTGCCTTTTATTGCCGATCCTCCGACGAGCACGCTCCAGCGATTGAAAGGCCTCACAACTGGCACACTCCCTACCTTCATTGACATTGGCTCGAATTTTGCCGGCACGGCAATTGAAGAAGATAACATTGTTTCGCAGCTGAAGGCCGCTGGAAAGACGATTGTACATCTGGGTGACGACACGTGGCATTCTTTATTCCCTGGATATTTCGACGCCAATATGACGCGGCCATATGATTCTTTTAATGTTTGGGATCTGCATACTGTTGATAATGGGGTTGTGGAGCATATTATGCCTTTGCTCGAGCAGTCTCCGGTGCAGTGGGACATCATCTTTGGACATTTCCTTGGGGTCGATCACGCAGGTCATCGATACGGACCAGATCACCCAGCCATGGCCGAAAAGCTCCGTCAGATGAATGGAGTGGTTCAGCAGATCGTTGACAAGCTCGATGATCAGACGCTCCTTGTCATAATGGGTGACCACGGGATGGACACGAAAGGAGATCATGGCGGAGAGTCTGATGAAGAGATCGAAGCGGCTCTTTGGATGTACTCGAAGCAACCTCGGTTCGGGCGAATCGACAGAAACACCCTGTTACCGCCAGCCACTGCTAAAGAGCGCCCTGTCGGTCAGATCGATCTCGTTTCAACCCTGTCTATCCTGCTTGGCCTGCCTATCCCTTTCAATAACCTTGGCATGCCTATCGCCGAAGCTTTTGCCGGGTCCGGGGATACGGACTGGAAAAACCTCGCCGTGGTGGGACGTTGGGCTCAGAGTCAGATCTCAAGATATCAAAAACATTATTCCCTTTCGCGTGACTTGGGTCTCCCCCCGGAAGCCTACACTGTCCAGAGCATGTATCTTGCCGACTCGACGAAGGCCTACGAGGATGGCCGGTGGGAAAACTCATATCGCGCTCTTGTCAATTGGCACGGGGAAGTGATCTCCATGTACAGGCAGCTGTGGGCGAATTTCAATCTGGTAGATATGCTGATTGGAGTTTTGCTCTCGGGCTCCGCACTTGCCTTCCTCCTCTTCTTTGCTGTCTTCCTGAAAGGAGACAAGGCTGGACTTGGTGCCGGCCTGGTCAGAAGCATCGGATTTGGCTCAGCTACAGGTGCTGGGTTGGGAGCTTTGCTCGGCGTTGTTCTGCCAGCGCATCTCACAGCAGTCGCTGGTGCTACTATCGGCACAGGTGCTGGAGGCGTTGTAGGCGCTGCCTTCTGGTCCCACTGGCACCACTTCGCCCCCCGGTCGTACTTGCCATCCACATGGGGCTGGATGATGTTCATATTTTGTGTTACCCAGTCGGCAGGATTTGCGTCAAATTCCTACACCATCCACGAGGATACCATTCTTCTCTTCTTCCTGGGTTCATTCGGTCTTGTATCACTAACCTCTTCTTTACGACAAGCATCGAGCTCTGATCGGGTCTTGGGAACCTACCAGTCGGTTGTTTTCATCCTCCTCACTCGAGCTGCATCATTCTCGCGCCTTTGCCGCGAAGAGCAAATGCCAGGATGCCGTTCCAGCTTTTATGCCTCGACCAACTCCTCAACATCAGCGCCGTGGCAATTGCTCATACCATATTCTGTGGCTCTGATAATCCCCGAGATCATCAAAGCCTTTTATAAGGGCACTGCGTCCTACGCGGCATCTGCTGGCTTCTGGATTGGCTTCAGTGTCCGGATGGGTTTGCTGCTCACCGCCGCCTATTGGACGGTAGATGCTGCCGACAACGGCGATTGGCTAGTCGACACGATCTCATCTAGCACCCTCAAGACGATTGGGATTACGCTGGCCCGGTGTTCACTAGCAGTCGCTATACCCGTTGGGATAGGTACCTTTGTCTGGGCGAAACCTTGCATCGACATCTCCATAGCCGAACCGAAAGTGGCTGTGGACGAATCTGGCAAGCCTGCTCGACCCCAGTTGACCATCTTCGGCTTCGCGAACGTCTATGGAAGCCGTTACTTCCTCATGATGCCCATCTTGGTATTGATATTATGCCTGCTCCTTCCGCCCATGGGCCAGTACTCCGTTGCCATCCTGACCTGGCAGATCCTGTGTCTCCTCGAGATCTTGGATGCGAATGGACTGACTGTCACCTCTACAAGTAAGTCCAGTGTCGGACCGATCATGCTGGCAATTCTGGGGTCCTACCATTTCTTCAAGACTGGACATCAAGCAACATTGGCTTCCATTCAATGGAATTCGGCGTTCGTCCCGTTACGCACGATTCGATACCCCTGGTCTCCGCTGCTGGTTGTCTTCAATACTTTTGGAGCTCAGATCATCTGCGCAGCAGCCGTTCCACTGACTGTCCTGTGGAAAAGACCAATAGTGAAGGCTGGACTGCGGGGGCTCTTGAACGACGTACTGGGCGCTTGCCTGACGCACACCCTGTACTACGCCACTATTCAGCTGGCAACAACCTTGTGGGCAGGGCATCTCCGGCGCCATCTCATGTTGTACAGGGTTTTCATGCCTAGGTATCTCATGGCTAGCGGGGTACTCCTCATTGTGGACGTGGTCCTGGCCGTTGTTGCGTTGGCTGGCGTTAGGGTCGTTGGGCTCAGTGTGGGCGAGGTCTTCGGCTACTGAGACCAGAGTCGACGTTCCTAGCGCGGCCGAGCTTATGCAAGGCTCGAATGGAGAGGACGGCCAACGATTCCCAATAGAGCTTGGTGACAATGGTGAATCTAAGGTCCTCTTTCCTGTCGGCTTAGCTAAACCACGGATGCTCTACTATGGGTACAGTCTTAGTCAACCACATGCCGGTGCACAAGACTCCCGTCCACTACGAGCAGCAAGTAGCGACCAGTCCGAGTTAGCTAACCGCTGCCACGGTTTGTCAAGGAACTCGCGAAAACAGAAAGTACCTCTGCCACCCAAGGCCGCTGAGTCACAAAGTAACAATCTGCGCCCGCAATGCCCCGCGTCGAAGGGTCGCATGCTTTCCTAAACCGAGAAATGGGGCAGCGGCGGTCGCCTTACGTCATCAGCGCGTCTTCATCGATTCAATCGCTTTGCGGCCCATGACGGGAATGTACAGCAAATCAACACAGTCAATCTTTTCCAATCAATGAGGGGCCCAGAGGATTGCTCTCTCATTATATTAAACTGCGATCGCTGTCACTGCAGCAAAATTTTTCTTTCCTTCTCTTTCACCAATCTGTCTTTGATCTCCAAACCGCTTCATCCCAGCTCGATTTGACTTTCGATTCAGACAAACCTCAGTTATACTTGAGTATACCCCGCATCCATCGAAATCCGAGCAAATCCGCCGATATGCCTATCCCACCTCCCAAAGCCACCTCTCTCCAGGACCTCTTCAGCCTGAAGGGTAAAGTCGTCATCGTCACCGGTGCTTCAGGTCCCACAGGTATCGGCACCGAAGCCGCCCGAGGATGTGCTGAGATGGGTGCTGATGTTGCCATCACCTACTCATCCCGTCCTCAGGGTGGTGAGAAGAACGCCCAAGAACTGCAAGAGAAGCACGGCGTCAAGTCGAAGGCGTATAAGTGCAACGTTGGCAGCTACGAAGAGGTGGAGAAGCTGGTCCAGGATGTCATCCGAGACTTTGGCAAGGTTGATGTTTTCATTGCCAATGCTGGCCGGACTGCCGACAGCGGCATCCTCGATGCTCCTGTTGAGAAGTGGAATGAGGTTATCCAGACTGATCTGACCGGTGTCTACCACTGTGCTCGAGCGGTCGGCCTGCACTTCAGAGAACGAAAGACTGGCAGCTTCATTATCACTGCTTCCATGTCCGGCCACATTGCCAACTTCCCTCAGGAACAGGTGAGCCTTGAGCTTTCCCCCCACCACACAGATCCTCCTCTAACAGGTACCGCAGACCTCCTACAACGTCGCCAAAGCTGGTTGCATCCACATGGCCCGCTCTCTGGCCAATGAATGGCGCGACTTTGCCCGTGTCAACTCCATTTCACCTGGCTACATCGACACCGGTCTGTCTGACTTCGTTCCTCAAGACATCCAGAACTTGTGGCATAGCATGATCCCGTTGGGCCGGGATGCCAAGGCAACCGAGCTCAAGGGTGCTTATGTCTACTTGGC